GATGGTAAAAGCGAGAGAAGAAAACGGCGGCGGTTTTAGACCGCGATACGGTAATATGAATTTCGTAAGAGGCATTAACTTCCGCAATAAACGCTGCCAAGTAGTTAACGATAAAGCGCGAGAAACTTCTCGCGGCGGAACTATTAAACCGAGGGTATCGCGCTACTCGGGCGACGGTGTGGCCGTGCAATGCGTTCTCGCGGGAGAACGGCACAATCGTATAATCCCTTTATTAAAACGCGGATTACCGTTCGGCTGCCGAAATGTTGGTATTTCATTATTCCTGGTTTCAGAACCGCGCAATGTTCGACGTCGCGATTAAGCACGAAGCGTCCGCGAGATGATTGATTTGAAAATGCCAGATACTTTTTCAGAAATTAAATATATAATACGTATTAAATTAATTAGAATTAAATCTGATATTATAACCCTTTAATGATGCGCATATGTGAATGTGTGTGTCAATACTATTTTAAATCTTCTCAATTTTTAAAGCTCTTTATTTACTAAAATTTTTATCTCTTGCTTTTTAACTTTTAATAGCTATCTCTCCTAGAAATTTTAAATTAAATGTATTGATTTTTTCCGAATTTTTAGAGAACTTTAATTCAATTCAATCAACATAGATGAATTATATATGCTACGTGAGAGACAAATTAAAATTATAAAATATTATAATTTGCAATATGTAATATATTTAAGTAAACAGGAACACATTTTTTTAATAAATAAAATGAAAAAGATTAATATGATTCAAATTACTTAATTTTGTCATTAAAATGAATGAAAGCTATACGCAATGCATAAACTATCCCTCCTTGATAATGACATTGCGAGCTCGTACCGTGTAATGAAACGTTAATTTTTAATGTGAACTGAAAGCAAAGCTCATGAGAATCGGCTAATTGAAGAGACGGAGATGACGTCGTTCGTCATAAGATGGGCAAGCGATTTTAATCGTGTTTAACGTGAAAAAATAGCGTACGCTAGCCAATTAGCCATTCGCATTGCAGTCGAAAAAGACGCGACTTTTAGGTAAACGCAAATAAGTGACTTGGGAATTCCCTCAAGACGAGCGAATTTGCTGTACAATGAGCGCAAAAATGGTGGAGCAGGTGGAAAAACGAGGATAGATACAGTGGAGCGGCACATCAGAGAGACGAAGAAAAATGTTAGAGAAGGACGGAATCGTCTGCGGTCGATGTAAAAGAGAGAACGCAGTTTGCCGCGTTTACATTTAATTAATTAGTCGGTCAACGTCAGCATCCACCGCTGGATGTGGAAAAACGAGCAAGTGCTACCACGTCGAGACGCATTTAAACGCGCTTCTTTCATCTTCCTTTGCTGACCAACATCAGTCGCGTAACGTTACTGCGAGCGTAGATTTATCTTGTTTAAGTAACATGCATCAAGAATATAAGTTAAGCTGCAAATAAAAAAGATGTAGACGTTACGAATATAGCAGTTGTGGTATTAAATGTTCACGTCGTCGTGTTCTGTTGCTTTCGTTTGGAAGTGAAATGTAAGCTACTTAATAACTGGAACTCTGCAAATCAAAAAGTATTGCTCCAAGCCGGCTGCGATTATATACATTTATCCTTGGTGATTGCAAGTTATTTCAACATAAGTATATTTTCCAACCATAATCAAAATTTCAGCGTGAAATTATGAAATTATAAAAATTAATTCCTGCCGCAATAATTTATCTCCCGGAAGGCAAATGTACTCATCGCCAATTTCCTTGTAACAGCTATGGTAATTTCATATTCTCAGGAAACGACTTCCTCGTGTATCTTTAAGCAGTTTCCAGACGACCATTAATGCGTAACGGGATCATTAAGCGAGATTCGTTCCTCGAAATCTTCATTGTCGCCCGTGACACGGAGTCTTCCATCTCGTGGTTTTAAATGCGTCATAAAACCACTTTTGACCATGTAAGTAACCTTCAACGCCTTGTATTGTCTATATCTAACAATTGGTGATTCAGTTAATCTATTTGTATTCAATGCTGAACACATGCTTCTATACATAGTCTCGAAGATTGTAGACATTTACATTTAATTGAAGAGACATTGAAGTCTCAATTAGAGCTGAAACAAAGTATTTAAGTATACTTTATGTTTAAAATGCTTGAACAGTTAAAAAACAAAAAGAGTTTTAAGTTCGAACAATTTGAATGTAATTAGTGGCTGATTTTTAATGTCAATTTATGTCTGAAGATTCAAATAATTTGAATCATATTCAATCAAACTTAAGCATAAACAATTTTTTTATTTATAAACATATTCAATTCCGATCTTTCCGACCTGAATTCAAACTGTTTGAATATACGTTTAATTTGAAAGATTCGGATCGTCTAAACTGCTCGACCATCCAAAATTTCCGAGCACTGTTAAATATACTAATTTAATATACAAATATTTTTTATGTAACATTTAAAGGTGTCTTTCATAAACGCTTTAACCAGATAATCCATAAACTATCTAATAAAACAAGATCAATTTACAAGAAATGAGAAGGACGCTCAGTGAGAAATATATCTCTCCGCTGTCGTACTTCTAACGACAGTGCCCACGCGCAGTCAGATATAGCGCGGATATACAATTAGCATAATGAATTCGCCCACGGAGTACCCACGGATTTGTCGAAGGTATCATTAATAATCGCCTCGATCGAGAAAATGCACGCATCTTCGCCCCCGTCTTTCTTTCAAAGCGCGAAGTTCGATGTTGAAGTGACAAACGCGCGCGCTTCTTTCTTCGCTGACTCGCAGCCTGCAAGAAAAGCGGAGCTCCGTTGTGAATAGTCCACCGCGCTCTCCGTCTTCTTCCCGGAATCTCTCCCTTCGATTCTACGAGTAATTAGAGGGAACTTCATCGTCGGGAGCGGCGCCCTGTCGCATTCCCCCTTGGCCCCACCTCTCGAATTTAGCTCCGCTGTAGCGTTTGGACGCTCGGCGAAGTTACTCGTCCCGTAGAAAACGCGAACTTTTAATTTATTTAAAACCCCCTCCGGTGACGAGAGAGAGAGAGAGAGAAAGAGAGAGAAGAGAGCCAAAAAGTCCTCCCCTGCATTGCGAGAACGGGCCATGTATATCCTCTAATGAATTCTTATTCGATCTCGGAATTAAAGAGATCGCGAATGGACCCTGTCGGCGCGCAATAACTTCCTTCCCCTCTTTCCATCCCTGTCGAGGGAGCGGCGTGTACACGCAGGGCTGAAAGCCGCAGGAGGCATCGGGAAGATCGTGAAAAACGCCCACCCGAATTTAAAAAAAAAGCCAAGTCGAAGGGGCGCACGTATCAGAAGTTACGTTTATCAGGTAAAGCGCGGCAGTTTTCGCCCGCGGCCCCCCCCCCTCCCCCCCTCCTCCCAGTCCCAATCTTCGCGACTCGTTCGACTCCTGATTTTACACTCCGCTTTCCTCCCCTCGTACCTCACTTGCCGTACCTCTCTTCCGCACTCCCGCGATTGCTTCGTGGGCATCGATCGAGCCTGCAGGACCCTGAAATCCCTGCAAAGAGCGCGTCTCGAGTTTCCGCGCGGATTAACTTTCGGAAGCGGAAGTCTGCTTTAGGAAATTACGGTCACGCGAACCAAAAGGACTCGAACGTTCACGCGATGATCGATACGCGCCCTGTCCTTCGCCGATTAAAATGCATCGAGATCTTGTTTTGCAAGGACATCTGATAAGATGTGTCCTGCAGTGTACACTTACGATTATACGAGATATATCTTCATCTGCATAATGATGCTCGCCTGCGATATCAATTTAATTTCCCCGAGAATAATTATATTGGCATACTTTAGGGCGGGAGCAATCCAATTTTTCGCAATTGGCTTCACGCACACGTGGGAAATATTAGTACGTGAAATTTGTATCCGATGTAAAAGAGCAGCCAAGAGTCCTGCGTTTCTTTGATGATAGCGGGATCGCGCAAAATTTAATACCGGTGCGGCGAAGCCAGCGGAGGCGGCAAAGGAGCACTCGCGATTCGCGAGTATACCGCATACGTTTCCCCATCTTGGCAGCGAGCAATTCGCTAATACATTTCTCGAGGTATCATCTGCCATGTATTAAGTGGGTATGAGCTTTTGCGCGTCTCTCGGAGCTACTTTCCGTTTGAGATCAAAGTGGATACGTCATACGTCTGTCTACTCTCCCTTTCTCTCGCTCTCTTCTCTTTTTCGCGTGTTCTTTCGCGCGAAAAGTAATGAAAAATTATCTTCTGTATTAACCTTTTCGCACCTAATGAGACATGTATTTTATAAAAAAAAACAAATGGACAAATATTCTTTAAAATGTATATAATTATATTCATAAAAATATAGACGATAAAAATCTTGAAAATATTTATAATTAAGAGGTTTAGAATCTTGTATGTGTGTGTGTGTAATACATTTACTTATACACAAACATACATACAATCGAGTGGAAAATTTCAATATTAAATTGACGCAAAGATAATTAAATTATTAACAATGAAAAATTACCGTAGCACATTGCATCTGATAATAATAGCAATTCAGATTTTAAATTATTAAAGACATTAATGTAATAAAAATGTAATGAAATATTAATAATTAAATACAAATAAAAATAATAATTATATATAAACAATTCATATAACAAATTAAGCTTCTAGAGTTTTACATTATTTATATTAAACATTGTTTATAATTACAAGCAAAGCGATAAAATTGATTCAACTAAAGTTATATATTTTTATCAAAAGAGTGTGCAGGTACGCTTTGACAAATAATACTAATAATCTTGTCGTTGATAAGAAAAACATTGTAAAGATAAATGCATAATCACAGTTCTAGTGTCATCGTACGACATTGTATGTCAGAGATGACAAAATGTACAATTATTCAGAAACCAATTATTGAAATGTTTTTAGTACCTCAAGTTTTTCTTTTATCGCAGATATTTTAAAATGTGCTTTTAATGTGACAGCTAAAACGAAATAAAGGACAAGATAAATTCAAGTCAAGATTATGTGCTTCAATTTTATGAAATAGAGAAATAATAAATATTTGTGTAATTGTTTCATAAAATTAAAGCAGATTATTTCCGCAGATAAAATTATTACGTAAACTAATGAACAAACTAATTTTAGTGCAGGGAAGCCTTTATATTTCCAAATTTTTAATTTATTCTAATCAATATTTACAAAGTAAATAAATAACTAGATATAAAATCCAATAAAATCTCTAAATTATAATGTGCGAGACTCGTTCAAATCATTATAGTCAATTAACGATGTAAACGATATTAATCTTTAGCTTTAATCTCGTATCACTCATCACTATATCACAGCTTTACAAACAAGCTCATAAACTGTAGATAAATTGTACTTTTTAATATCGATAAAAATCATTTTCTCTTTGTTAACATCGTCAAACATACCTTTCAGTGTGCCAACAAATCTTGGCTTTAAGATGAAAACGCAATCGATAGCAGCGCAGAGAAAATGGAAACCGCCATGATATTCATCATCGGCAATTTGGTTTGCGCGTTACCACCAAAAACAATTTCGTTATTTTTGTGCTGTTCCATTATTACTACATTTTTGTTCTCTATTATCCAGTATATATAGTGAAAGATATCCGCGTATACGCCAGGAAGCCGTGGAAGCGCACAACCCTTGCCAACGGAAACTATACCGGTTAGAACGCCATTGCAAATCATACCACCGCCAGAATCACCCTGGTGGATTCGAAAAAGAAAAGTATAATTAGTAACAACAATTAAAAAATTATATAACACACAAATACAAATAGATGAGAGAGAGAGACCTACTTGGCAAGCATCTTTTCCTCCTTCCAGCCAGCCGGCGCACATCATCCCTTCTGGCAAATCCGTTTCATTGACGAGTAGTTCACGACATTCCTGTGTTGATCGAGTGAGTAGCTCGACGTACATCAAATCGTTGGACACCGTCCGGTTATTCTGAAATATTCGAAACCGAGGTGTTCCAGCTCGAACCGAAATTTCCTGTAGTCAAAGGATCTCACCGCTGTACTACTCACTTCCGATGGGTAACCCCATCCTGATACCTGGCAGACTGTGTATGGTTCAAAAGGCTTCGCTGGTAATATAGCGCTATGAAGTTCGGAAGTGAATTTAAAGGGCACCGACAGCTGCAGAAGAGCCAAACGTGAATTAGATTTGCCTTAAAAATCACGAATAACAGTGAATAACAGCCGGTTTGCAGACCGATGAAATATAATCGCGAGACGTACTTTCAAAATGGCAATATCGTTCTGGTAAGTCTTAGTATTGAACTCCGGATGAACTTTAATTTTTTCCACCCCTCTTTCCTGTCTCGTCAAACTGTTTTCATCCAGCTTCAGTATTCCTCCGACCAGCACAATCGTCCATGATTGTATAACAATTCCATTCCTGCGCAATTAATTTCACTAATTTCTTACTTGACCGTTGTTTCAAATATGAGAATAATTTTCAACAACTAGCAGATATAGATTAATGAGATCGACTGATGTGACTTGTCGCAAAACAACAATATCGTAGAAATTATAGATGTAGAGATAACAGTTTTATCCACGAATAACTTTTGGCTTACATAAAGACGCAGTGTGCCGCGGTAAGAACTAGATTAGAACTAATGATATTTCCACCACAGAAATGTTGGTTGGACCAGGAGCGCCTGAGAGACACCTAAAAAAAAGCGTTTCTCAGATTCGCATTAAATGGAAGTATAAATGTTACCTGATGAGGAAACTGCGCAGACTTAGCCTTCGTTCCGTTGACTATGCGGCCAATTAAACCGAATTTCGTCAGATCCAATTCTTTCAACCCGTCAGGAACTTCCTTTGGCGAGCCTGAAAGCACATTATTATTATTGTTGACCGTGCATATTGTATTATATTATCGTGAAATAAAATCTAAATTGCACGACACAAAAGCGATTTATTGATACAACGAAATTTATAACAATACTGAATTATTGCAACGATGAATTAGTTAACGCGTTATTCGCCACGGGCACAAAAACTATATTCCAGACTATACGGTTGGCGGTAATTATCGGTGAGTTAAATGAAAAATTAATTAACCGTCGCAATTTTATTCAAGCGCGACTAACGTCCTATCAAAACTCCGCTCTCGTTGCGAGCACGTTCTGCACGTATTTCGATTTAATTATGCATATTAATATACCGGGCGAAATTGCTCGCCTACCCGGCCAGAATCTCTCTGGTTTTATAAACAAACAGGAATAATCAGAAATGAGTACACAGTATTTTTTTGCATTTCACAAAATTCGTATGGTCGACGCGGAAACTTTTTCGAACTTACTAAACGCTAAAGATGAAAATATGAAAAACATCGATAGATGTAATGTAATCCACATTGTGTTCTTGCGAAGTTCTTAAACTAAAATCGAAAAACAATGTCTTCCACAGCAAGCGTCTTCTCACAGTGAACACAGACCTTTCTTATCTGCCGCGGTATATGGTTATCGGTTTTATCAGTAATATGTTATCGGCTCTAAAAAAGATTATCATTTAGAAGAGAAACATAAGCGACATGTAACAAAACAAAGTTCGGTTTAAGATGTTGTGATTTTTGCAGAATTATATACGGAGAAATTTTTATCAAAAATGACTATGTACGGCAGTAGCCGCGGTCCATGAAGGAATTATCAAAATTTTTACTACGTTTTTCACTTGTGAAACATAGCAAAAATTTTTGGTCCGGGCTTTATGGTTCGCGATTACTGCCGTACATAACTTTTGATATAAAACTTTCTCTGTGTGTAAGATTATATCAGTGGTGATACCATTGGTAATAGATAATGGAGACCAATGTTCAATAATTTTTTTAATGGTCACAACAGAACATATTTATCAACAAAAGAGAGAATAAGAAGAATGAATAGAGAAAATTAAAGCAAGTGCATGAAATAAAGTCTTATTCACTACAACTTAACTGTTTAACGATGACTATGCTTCGGAAATTCGCAAATTCAATCTGTGTGCAAAAGTCCCTTTTTGCAGATTTATACAAATTTATACTTTTAGACAAAAGTCCTTCTTTGCCAAAATATTCTTAATCGTTTTGAGATCGCGGCGGCGAAGTCGCTCTTACACGCAGATTACTCACTCAAAAACACAATAACTGTACCGCTCTAGCTTCCAGCGCCAAAAAGTCTCGTGGCCACGCTGTGCTCTCTTATATACTAAAGCTTCGAAGCTACTCGAAAGTTCTGGAAGCTTCTATATTATGCTTTATTTTCGCAGAATCACAGAATTAATTTGCGATTGTTAAATCAAACACTTTACTTATCTCTAGGTACTTATCTCTAGGTACTTATCTCTAGGTACGTAAGAAATACGTAAGAAAACCTACTTCACTCGAGTATATTTTATCTCTTAATCCAATGTATGATTGTTTTCCAATTATTGCAGTTGGTAATGTATAATAAAGTTTCTTTCCATTTTCAGTATGATTTTTGTTCTATTTTCAGTACAATATGTTTCTTCATTATATCTGCTAATTAATGTAATCGTGAAGTTTCTGCAACAGATTTCTGAAGTAAAACATCAAAAATTGTAATGATTATTCTTGTTAATCATATTTTTGTAAATTCTATTACAAAATTCGTTTTTTTTTCAATAATTTTTTACTTGCCAATTTTTCTTTCTTGCTTCAAATTTTCTCCAAATAAAGTTTAAAAAAAATTAATAATATCAGTCATAAAAATAAAACAGTATCGCAATATGTGTAAAATTGTGATACCACGAATCGAATTCAAATAATATTCGACGTCGAATGATCAGTATAGAAGTCACAGAGCTATAAGCGTGACAATTTTTCTCAATGAAATTATGGATATATGGAAGTCAAATAGGATATATGAAAACGTCCTGGAATTGGCAGAATTTTTGAATTCCACCCTGAGCCGGACCATACAGGGAGATATCGAGCGCTGACAAGAACGATCCGGGGATAATGAAATTCCGAAACGAAGGCTATTTCCGGTGGCCAAGTATAGCGGTCGAATGCGAGATATTTGCCCAAGACTACGCTAAACTGCGAGTCGTGTGAGTATTCAATATGCAAAATGGTAGGTGACTGTGCTATCATGATCGGCTCAACATAACTTAGTAGAATGAACATCGTTGTTTCTGATGACGGTGGAACGGCAGTTATCAAAAATCAAACGAGAAAAAGAACGAAATAAGAATTTTAAAAAGCAATATTTAACCAAAAAGTTACAAGGGCAGAAGAGAATCGGTAATAATTGAAGACATTGTTTTTTTTGGATGCTAAGCTTGATGAATGTATTTAATAATAATATTATTTATTTTATTTTAATTAGCACACAAAAAGGTCTTTTCAAACAATTTTATTCGAAAACATTATAAAGAGATAAGTATCGTTAAGATAAGTATAGAAGTAAAGATAAGTATAGAAAATTGGGTATATCGCACACCCGCAAAAAAAGTGACAAAGTCGAAATTTTTCGAATTTTGTTTTATGCGGATTGTATTCTAAATATATCGGCCTTCATTCAGGAAATCCTTTAATTAGGAAAAGTGATAGAAATTGAATTCAAATACTTTCCGCGTGAGTCCGCTAGATTTAATATTGCCGTAAATAATTCATTTAAAAATTATTGTTTAATCAAGCCATGTGACATGTAAAATTTTTTTAAAAATCAAGCTTGCTTCAGACGATTTATAATTTGCGATAACAAAATTTGAGATAAAAACGAATTTATAATATTGTTATTACGTTATTATTAATTCATATTATTATTAATTGGAACGTTGAAACGTTATTAATAATTCGTTCTTCTCTCCTAAAGAATTTTTTACTTTGCACTTTGTTTACGTCACTTTTTTTCGCTGGTGCGATATCGCACCAGCAAATCGAGATTAAAAAATAACGCTTATTTCTTATGTAACAAGTATCTCGTAATAAACTCGACGGTAGTCGACTCGACGGTAGTCGACGGGCGCCGTCAGTGTTTCTCGTATCGGGGCGTTCTGCATCATTAATAAGAGACTAATCTCTTATTATCTGTAGTGTGTAAATATTGTACAAAAACTGTATATTGGACACCGCGAGGCACAGTGAAAATAAATTGTGCGCATTACATGCGAAACAAATGAAACGACCATCCGGTAATCGGCATCCATCATCCCAATGTGCGGTCTCTATCCGACGAATTTACGCTGATAGGGCGAAGCCCCGTCACTCTCTATAATACATATTATTTAATAGGAAACGTTATTGTTAATTCTTCTGAAGAATTTGATATTTATAACTTTGCACTTTATTTGCGTCACTTTTCTTGCGGATGTGCGATATCAATGTGGAAAAACAACGAAATTCAGAAGATAACGATTATCTCTTATAAAAAATACGTCTTATCCTGAGACCTTCATAAAGAAAGTATCTTTAAAAGATAAGTATTATTAACATACGCAAAAGGCACAGAAGTACGCAGATTTTTTATTTGAATTTTGAACTTGAATAAAGATGTAGCAAATATACAAAATATGTCTATTCACAATATTCTGAATTCTGTGAATGACGAAATATCTTCAGAGAGATAACGAGAGATTCAAATTCACATATACGACAGAGAGAGAGAGAGAGAGAGAGAGAGAGAGGAGGGAGGAGAGAGAGAGAGACTGCCAAAGGGTTTGGCAAGTGGGACAGAGTGTATAGGGCTGATAGGAGGCGCCATTACCCATCCCCGTATTAAACCAACCCCGCGTACAGCAACACACAACCCCTGTGTACAATCTCCGCGTGCCCAACAGACCCATCGAGGAGCCCCGGGGCGTTGTCTACCGCAGAATCGCGTTCGATCGGCTCTCTCCTCTCGAAAGCTGCCGCGATCGTGAGCGTACATTCGCCCGTACGTACCGAATGTACCGTTCGGTTTAATACCGGCACGAGAGAGGGTTAGTAGCCGGCGAGCTAACAGCGGCCGACAAGCTCGTAATTTAGTCCTCCGCCGCGCGCCGCAGATAGTAGGTGCAAACGAACCCTTCTTTTTCGCCGCCGCCCGGTGGTACGATACGTACGAACACGTCACGAGCGGCAAATCAGATTTATCTGCGGGCGTATTTGGCCGGCCGTGCGGCCACGAGAGGCAGCGCGGCAACAATACGAAATCCGCGCGCGTAGAGACCGGATGATAATATCCCGAGTGAAAAGGGGCGCGGATATTCCTCTCCCCTTCCCTCCCCCCTTCCTTCCCCCCCTCCCTTACAGGTATGCGCGTAGGTATGCTTTTGATGTATCGATACTTTATCGCAATCACGGATAATTAGTAACGCATCAGAGAGAGAATGGGAAGATAAATAAATAGCCCGTCGGGCTGATTGCATCCCAGACATCATCCCGTGCTTGCTGCAGAATTATTGCGCTCGCCGTACTCTCGTGCATCGCGATATGATCTATCGTGCGCTCCAAAAGGAACCTGGCGGGTGCGTGACTCGAGGAATATTATCGTGTACGAGCAGTTTTTGTATGTGGAAAGGTGTGACTATTCGCTCTCATAAGCTGGCCACGCGCCAAGACTTAAACGGGAAACAATTGTTAAATAAGCTTCTTGTTATATCAATAGGCGTTCATTTATTTTATTCGCATTATTGTGAAGTAACGTTGAATGCTTGATTTTTTTCAGCAACATTCGTATATTTCCACGCACGAATTAGACCGATCGGGTTTTCCATTCGAGATCGCTTTCGTGGCCCAGCAGATTTTCTACCTGAACTCGCTCTCACAGTCTGGCAGATTAATTCTGAAACGCTCTGCGTGCGGGAGTAATGCGAGCGTGTAAGCGCGCGTGTACAGTGCGCGTGTAAGAGGCGTGGGCTGCGGCGGTATCGAAACAAACCGGCGTGCTCCGCGAGCAAAATTTAAAATCCCGTTCTTTCACGGCTCATTTCCGAAACGGCATTTCATTTCTCTCTCCTATTCACTCTCGCGCCGCTTTACTCCGGCGCAGCCTCTCTTGACTACTCCTTCGATCGCCCACTCCCTCCTTCTCCTCCTCCATCACTTGATCTCTCTCCTTCTCCTCTCCCTTTCTCTCTCTCTTTCTCCCTCCCCCCCTCCCCCTTCTCCACCCCCCGGCTTTCCTTCTGGGTCGAAACGTGCCACCTCTTCTTCGCTTCTTCCAGCCGCGCCGTGGAATCATTCTCGATGGAACCGTGGATAATGTTTATGGTACGTAATGATAAGGAATGCTACCTGCGACCGATGGTCACGGCGCGGCGGCGCTGTATTTCTCGGCTATTATTTAGTCACGGAAAGCGGGCGCGATTTTGCATAGCCGGTATTGCCGGTATATTCGCTTCGACGACGCCGCAGTCATCGATTCTCGTTTGCATCCCGATCACATTCATTACTAATTTATCGTGCTGCTTATTGCGATTTTGACATCCCGCCAGCGATTTATCGCTAAAC